GGGTTATAGTTTAATCTTGATTTAGACCTTAGAAGATAGGGACCATACCATGAGGGGGGAGGGGGGGGGGGAGCCCGCCGGGGCGTGACCATAGAGAGGGGTAGAAAAGGTAATGGACAAGAAAATGGAAGCGACTATGACATTCATCCAGAGCTCTGCAATCTGCTTGCTGGTCTTGGTTGACATGCCTACCCTAAACCTTAAACCCCAGACCCTAAGCCTAACCCTTAAACCCTAAATCCTAACCCTGAACCCTAAACCCTAAGACCCTAAACCCCCTAAACCTAACCCTTAAACCCTAAACCCTCAACCCTAAACTCTGAACTGACAGGGCGCGTCTCCATCCTCTCCCGATGGCTTGAGGCAAGGACGTAGTTCCAGCGGCTTGCTTGGCTGCGCTTCTCGTTATTTGAGCTATAGTCTAAACTTCGAGTATCCCCCTTAATATTCCCCATAATTTTGGATTTAGGGTTCAGGGTTTAGGGTTTAGCGTCTAAACTCCTAGTTTCCCCCTTGATATCCCCTATAGTAGTCACCCACATGATCCCCTATATAACCCCCTTTAAGGAGTTTCGATTATGTTTCCTTGCACCCAGGAAAATGATCCCAAGGACCCGACAGCCTGCATCATGTGCAGGCGGTCCACGTCCATGGGAAGGATGCGTTCCAGGCCGAGATCTGTTAGCTTCGGCCCCGATGCGCTGCTCTGGGCTCAGTGAGTCTTCTTCTGTGGTGATGCGGCTAGTTTCCACGGTGACTCTTTCGCATTTGCGTACCCCCTAGCGGCCGCACTACGAGACGCACCGATAATTCTGAAAACAGGGGTAGTGGCGCAAGATCCAAGATGTGAGACTGGAGCTTGTGCCATCCTTTGGAGGTCTTTGCTATGCCCTTGTTCGGAAGACCTGCAATGTGGGCATTTAAAGGTGTAAAAGCTAACACTTGAGAGGCAGAGAAATGTAGGAACCCCAACAGAAGAAACTCATCTTGGATTGCAGCAGAAGTTGGCACTGCATGCCGAAGCACAGCAAGTGTAGTGGTTATAAGAGAGAAGAAAACGGAAACTACAGGGATTATAGGATATGTATTGGTGTATATTAGGGTTATGTCAGGGTTATATTGGGGTCATATGGGGATAATGGAAGAGAAAATGGGCGCCAGCTTTTTAAATCAACCGTATTAGGGTTGCCTCAGGAGCAGTATGGAAATGGTAGCAAGTGCACTTTGAGGGAGCAGCTTACCCCGACTTAGGGGGTGCCATTTATGCATGGGCTTAGGGTTTAGGGTTTAGGGTTTAGGGTTTAGGACTGAGTTTTCCTGTAGAATTCCCTAGACTTCCTCTAATGTCCTGCTACGGTTCGCTAGATTCAGCTTCAGGTCCCCCTAGGTTTTCCTTAGAGTTCCATGGATTTCGCCCAAGGTTCCCTTAAATTTCCCGTAAGGTTCCCGTAGACTTCCCCTACATGCCCCCTAAGGCTCCCCTAGATTTCACCTATGGTTCCCCTAAGGTTCCCCAAAGTTTCCCTCTTATGGCTTCTCTAAATCTCCGTAAGGTTCCATTAGATTCCCCGCAGATTCCCCTAGAGTTCCTATGGATGTCGCGTAAGGTTCCCCAAGCTTTCCCTAAGGTTTCCCTGGACTTCCCCTAAAACTCCCTGGCTTTCGCCCAGAATTCCCTTACGGTTCCCGTATGTTTCCCAGATTTCCCCTAAGGTTTCCCTGGACTTTCTTCCAGGTTTTCCCAAGGTTCCTCTAGTGACTCTTCTAGATTTTCCGTGGATTTCCTTCAACGTTTTGCTGGGTTTCCCTGAAACTCCTCTAGATTCGCAAGGTTGCTCTCGATTTCACCCAGTGGTTCCCTTAGAAATTACCTAAGGTTCGCCAGATTTCCCCTCAGGTTCCAGGCTCCCTTGGTTTCCCTAGAGTCCCCCTAAGGTGCCATTAGACTTCCCCAAGATTTCCATGTCAAATTCCCCTAGATTTTCCTCAGATTCTCCACCTCAGGTTTTCCTGGGCTTCCGCCTAAACCCTAAACTCTAAACCCTAAACTCTGAACCCTCAACCCTAAACTCAACCCTAAACCCTAAACTGTAAACCCTAAACCCCTAAACCCTATAAACCCTAAACCCCTAAACCCTTCCCTCCACCCCAGGGGCAGCTCCTGGCGTTTGGAGCTGACGACCAGCTCCGGGGAGCTGCTGGCGCAGCCGCAGGGCTGAAGGGGTTTGGGGGGGGGTTTAGGGTTTAGGGTTTAGGGTTTATACCCAGACCCCCTAAAGGATCCCAAAAATGGAACCCCCCCATAATCCCCTAGTTTCCCCAATGTAGTAATAGGTTCATATTGGGGGGGTTCCATTTTTTGGATCCTTTAGGGGGTCTGGGTAGTCCCGGGTTTAGGGATTAGGGTTTAGGGCCCCCCTTAAGTAGATAGAATATGGGGATTTAGGGTCTAGGGATTAGGGTTTAGGGTCCCCCTCAGGTAGATAGAATATGGGATATAGGGGGCCATAGGGGGATCTTGTTATAATCTACCCAGAGCCATATTCTATCTACTTAAGGGGAACTATAATGGTTTAGGGTTTGGGGTTCATAGGACTTGGGGATAGGGTTTATAGGGTTTAGAGTTTATGGGTTTGGGTTTTAGTGTGGTCGTTCGTTTGCGGGCCTTTGGTTTGGGCTCCTGTTCCTGCACGCGGGAGTCTCATGTGGGTTCTTAAACGATTGGATGATGTTTCTCCTGAGGGCACCCAGTTCAAAGAAATCCCATGTTGAGGGGCAGGCTTTGATCAAACCAAGCAGTTAATTGATTGCCACTGTTAATCTGGATGCCACATCGGTATCTTCAAATCTTTCAAAACTAGGGATTCCTCCTGCCTACCCCAAAGCACCATAGTCCATGTTATTGGGACCACCCCTAAACCCCTAAACCCCTAAACCCTAAACCCCTAAACCCTTAACCCGTAACCCTAAACCCCAAACCCCTAAACCCTTCACCCTGAACCCTAAACCATCCCAAAGAACAGGTACAGTTCTGAGAAGCCCGCAAAAAAAAACAATCTGAGGTCAGCGTGCTGCAGAACTGGGAAGCCGGAAGCTTAGCCAGCCTCCGCACCAGAAAGTAGGGTGTAGGGTTCAGAAGGTGCGTAGGTTTGGGGCGTAGGAAAAGTGGTGTAGGGTCAAAGATTTAGGGCTTTAGGGGTTTGAAGGTAATTTAGGGTTGGTAGTCTATTGGTCCACACTGAACATGAGATCCCTGTGGCTCCATTTTCTGTTTCAACACGATCTTACTGCTTTCGGGCTAACATTGGTGTTAGTGGGATTCTTGTGGGGTTCCACGTTAGTTCGGGGAAGAATGCGTGAAGAAGTGCCCAGGGTTTCTTGTCAAGATTGAGGCTCGAATGATGCCTTCTACCCTAGCCTTGGCAAGCCCTCATTCATTGGTAGTTGCGGGAAGCAATCGTCAAGGAACACTGTACGTACTCAATGTACGTACATGTTGTATCCCCCAGAACGGCACCACCAGAAAGAAGCAGTATACGGGCAGTTTTGCTTTCGAGGAACTGTACCAGGAACAAGAAACATAAACACCCTACAGTACATGATCCCAGCTTCCATTCATGAATTTCATAATCTTCTTAGTCTTGTCCATTTCATTCTCCATTATTGGGGCAATACCCCCTTCAACCCTATATGAATAATGTATGATCTCCCGATATAACCTTGTATAATCCCATAAGCCCTAGGGCGAGTCCCGAGTGGAGCAGCTGCCCGTCTTTCTCCCTCATGACCTCCACTGGAGCCTGGCTCCCAGCAATCCCAGCAAGTTGGGTCATATAGGAGTTACAATGGGATAATAAAAAAGAAAATGGAAGCTGCTATAGTATATAGGGGTAACATTGGGATAATAGAAAAGAGAATGGAAACTGCTATAGTATATAGGGGTAATATTGGGATAAGGGAAAAGAAGGTGGAAACTAGTATAGTTTGTCAATATGCTGAGTCTATTCGGTGGGGCTCACACCAGGGATCCTCAATTTCTAGTAGGGTTTAGGGCTTAGGGGGTCGGTTGGCGATCGCCGAAAGTTGATATCATTGTCTCACTATCAATGAGCCTTGATGTAGTGGGGTGAGTATGTAGAGATGAGAACAGCAGCCCTGTCCAGTTGTTCTTTCAGCTCCTGTACAGCTCAAGTCAAGACTTGAATACAAGCTGGCCAGTCTTACAATTACGTAGTCGCCCAACACGCCGTAACACGCCACGGTATATTTTGCCCAGTTGCTGGGTCTGGGGCTGGAGCAGATGAGAAGCGCACGCTGAGGTGAATTATGCCACCTTGCGGCGCAACACGCAGGACCCCTTGCAGCTTGTGACTGTCATCTGCTGTCAAGTTGGGGCCGGGCCCCAGGCGTTCTGTATTTAGGCCCGTGGGGGGCCTCGGAGATTATTTTCTGGTAGATGCTTTTCAGTGCTATAAGCCCTGCAACGTCGCGTGTTCGCGTTTCTGGTCCTAGCAGGGAGATCAAGACCGTACGTATCTGTTTTGGGTGCTGCGCTGGTGGTTTTTTTATAGAAATAGACACCATTTACTGTGAGGAGGGCTATGAGCTGGTGACCCCAGAGCGCACCATGCACTTCTGGGGCTCCTTCGACCACCATGCCGTCAACATCACTGATGAGGCACTTTCCGGCATGGAGTCTGCAGCATGTGCGATACATCTGGCTTTCCTAAAATTTGGGGCAAATTTTTTTAGAGTCCCATTAATCAGGACTATCGTATGTTGGGGTCTATATTTGCGTCCCCCTAGTTCGGGAAACTGCCATATGTTGCGGGCCTAGCCAGATTCGGACTGTTCTGGACTCCATTGCATGGGTCAGGAGTCACGAAACAGCCCAACCCATGCAGAGACCAATTCTCTAGAAAAAATATCCTGATTCTTCAACAGACTCCGTCCCTAAATGACCATGGGGTCCTCAAGGGTATTTGGAGGGTTAGGGGACTTAGCAAGTAGGTTGATAACCCCTACAATCCACATAGTAACCCCAGTTTTCCCCATTCTTAACCTCCTTATTAAGTCCCCTGACCCTCCCAGTACGCAACTATCCCTATAGACCCATTGTTAATCTCACTTTCCATTTCTTGTTCCAGTTGTTCTTATTCATTTGAATCTCCGTTACTGGGTTCATATGTCCTTAGACCCTATGCCCTGAATTGTAGTTTCCATTTCTTTTTCCATTAGTACTACATGGTAGTTTCCCTAACTAATTAAGGGGGCCCCAATATAGACCCCAAAATACGATAATCCTGATTATAGGGACCCCCAGAATGGTATCCCCAATTTTTGGGAAACCCTCCACATAAGTTGGGGTAAACCCTAAACCTCTAAACCCCTAAACCCTAGACCCTTGGCTTCCTGTGATATGGGCTGCATGTTTGGTAAGGAAAGTGCTTGCCCTGGGGTGCCGCGAAGGTTTGATGTGTGATAAAAGCTTTCAAGGAGCCTGTGTGTGGGTTGTTTTCGCTCTTGCGCAACTGCGCCTTCTGACCTGTAGCAGGCGGAAAAAGGAGCTGCAAAACAAAAATCCTAAACACAACGACCCCACTTCGAGCAAACCCCCTCGTGCCGTCCACGGCCAGGCTGGGAAGCTGCTGGCCACCACCGAACTCTGCGCTGCAGAATGGGACCCTACGGGAGAGCCGCCTGACTTAGGGTTTAGGGGTTAGGGTCTAGGGTTTAGTGTTAGGGTCTGACAACTCCCGGAATTGGTGGGGCAGCTGATATTATCATAACGATGAGGGTTAGTATTTCAATTTATGTTGATATTCTTGTTATTGTTTTTCACTATGTTTGTTCTTAATATTATGGTTGGGCTTGTGAGGTTTTTAGGGTTTCTGAGTAAAGGTTTTTCTCGAATGCGTAAAGCCTGTCTTTTCTGTCTGGGTGGCCCCCAAACGGGCCTACATCATCTTGGCGTTATCGAAGTGTATCCCAAATTTTCGGACGCCGCTGGTTCGGATCTGCGAGGTGTTTCACCCACATTCGGGTGCAGTGTACTTTTTTCATCTGCATGCCTGAAGGGTTCAATCTGAGGTTCTACCGCCTGCGGGTGGCGCCACTTGTGGATGTGGGCTTGCTGCTTTGCAGCTTGGTGTGCATCGACCAGGCCGGCACTGACATGGTTGTTATATGGGGATATAGTGATAATGGAAAGATAATGGAAACCACTATATATAGTATATCGGGGCCATCCAAGCATTACTTCAAGACTTGGTCGACATAAGGTTGCCTGTAGCAAGCTTACCACAAGCACCCACAAAGACTCAAAGCAGAAATGCAATGTCCTTCTTATATATATCCCTGTATACCCCTTTTCAGGGACCTAGGGTTTCCATTTCATTTTCCATTTGCTTTTCCATTTGATTCTCCATTATTGGGGTAATATCCCTATACATATATATATATATCCCCATATACTGTCCTTCTTGGGGACAGACTAGGAGCTGCAGCAGGTGGCGGCCCTCGGGCGGCGCACATAGCCCTGGCCAGCAGCGCCCGGGCAGTCATGAGGTCCCTGCCTTACTCATACGGATTGCTGGATTGCTGTAAAGGAACTTAAATTAAGTTACTATATTGGGGAAACCCAATTTTTTACCATACATACCTATTATGGTAACTTAATTTAAGTTCCTTAACAGCAACCCAGATTGTGTTGGTGCCTTGCCACATGTCAATCCAAATAGTGGTTACCGCATCCCAGAGTCGAGCAGCTAGAGTCGCGCAAGAGCGACAGAAAAGCCCAGCTTTCTCAGAGCTACTGAATTGAATACCTTGAGCTCCGGAGGATTTCGTGAGGGAGCTCAAGACGGCTATAGTAGTTACTGATGATGTGAGGAGGCAAAATCTGCAAACTCACGTCGCGTTCAGCTTGTCCTGAACGCATCATTTGCACGTCCCTCATTTGAACTGTGCTGAACACACCTTGCCCGTGCTCTCGGCCGTTTAATTCACCCTACTTGCAGATCTGGAACACAATTTCTACATAGTATAGCCTAAACTCCTTCAAGGGGGGTTATATGGGGGATTATATAGGGGACTACTATAGAGGTTACTAAGGGGGATACTAGGAGTTTAGACTATGGCTCATATAATGCATCTGTTGGAGAGAGAATCAAACGGCTGCGTGCATCGTGTGCCCGGCACAGGGCGCATGTATCCTTTTGGTGCAAGACTTGGGGCCTGGACATTACAGACATTTGTCACTCAGTGCTTGTACCGCGCTCAGCTCATCACTGCTAGGAATTTCAAGGCATTCGTCTTCATGACAAAACTTTGATGATCTTTTTGTGTAATTGTTGCGATGGATGCTGAGCTCAGCGCGTTGGCCAGGAACATGCTGTTTGGCTTACAAGAAGCTCTGCAGCTTGTCGCGTCTCTGACAGTGTGGTGCTCACAGTATCGCAAACCTTACGTGTGCGCCTAGAAGCAAAATTTCCATTCAATTATTTCCTTCCCCACAACTGTGAGCCTCAAAGCCATGTTTCCTGGAGCACCAAGCTCCTTTGAATTTCCTCTGCGCACTGCCAAAAGGGAGCGTCGCTCTGCTGCTATAAGCCATAGTCTAAACTCCTTAAAGGGGGTCATATGGGGGATTACACAGGGGAGTATTTCAGGGCGTATTAAGAGGGATACTAGGAGTTTAGACCCTAAACCTTGAACCCTAAACCCTACATTACATAGGGCTTATTCAGGGGGATCCTAGGAGTTTTGACTTTGGCTCATATGATGCCTCATGTGATTTGATATAGGCACCTCTTGAAGGCCGGCATGTTGCCAAATTTACCGTTACTATAGTTCTTATTCGTACAGGGTTTGGGGGTTAGGGTTTAGGGTCTCTATTACAATTACTGTTACTGTTACTATTACCATTAGTATTATAGAGTCTATGTACCCCAGTACTGGAGAATCAAATGGAAAAGAAAATGGAAGATGAAATGGAAGCCAAAAAGATTCTGCAGTTTGTTCATGCAGGTAGTTGTAGCTGAAAGCAAACTTGCCTTGAGGATGCGAAGATGTACTCCAACAGGGCAGCAGCGCTGACCAAGTTGCTAGCGTGCTCCCAGAAGATATGGGCGTTTCCCTTTTGGGGGGATCCCATAATGAGGATTATAGTATATTGGGGTCTATATTGGGGTCCCCCTATTTTGGGGAACTACCATATGTCGTGAAGTGGGACCTGCTCTGCTCTTGCGGCGCTTCAACTTTGACGTCGTATCGCCACCCGCACGCAGGTATCCGGATGCTCTCCGAGACCTGGATGAGTGCCTGAAGCTGGACTGGCGCTAGCTGATGTGTCCGCACTTGAAGACCTTGTAGCAAAACAATAGATGCGTTGTCAGACGTACTGGGTAGTTTCCATAAGTAGGCGGACCCCTGTACAGACCCCCATATATTACAATTTGCAACACGAAGACCTTCAAAATGATACCCCGGCAATTTGCGGAAACCCCCACTTCTGTTTGAGGACCCGACCTTCGTCAAGGCATACTCACGGAAAGGAGCAGCGTAGCTCGGCGAACAGCGGAGGGCGCAATCAGTAGAATCCTCCCCCTAATGTTAAACCTCCCCACCCCCCCTAACATTAAATATTTCCCGTTGTAGTATCTTGGTCATATTCGAAATTAGGGGGTTGGGGTGTTTCAAATTAGGGGCAGGGGATTAGGGCTTGATTGGGTTTATATAGGCTGGGGGTATAATGGGTTATTCTGAACGTAATAGGGGCTGTACAGGGCTATATGGGGGATGATATTGGGATAGTGTGAACCAGATGGAAAAAACATGGAAAATGAAATGGAAACTGGGAGTGCAAGTGATTTGCTTGAGCCCCTAAACCTTAAACCCTTCTTGAGGCAGGAAGTTTTCAGGTGCAGAAGCAAGACCTTTGGCGCCGTTTCATCGCAATCAAAACAACACCTTGCACCAGCAAATATAGTAAATGCCATGAACAATGCGTTCCTTTTTGCCAGCAGGCGCGCAGGCAGCGAAAGCAGAACAACAACAACAACAACAGCAACAACCACCACCCTAAACCCTAAATCCTAAACCCTAAACCCATCGGAAGCTTACTTTGTTGAAAACCCTTGAAGACTTCTTACGCGCCTTTCAAGATTCGAGCGCTGTTAACCAACTCTCAGACTTCTGCATGCTACACTCACTTCTTCGGAGCTCCAAACCTTTGGACACTCCAAGCCATTAATTGTTGTAAACGCAGACCGAAAAATCCTACCTTTCTTTCGCCAATGGTTTCACAGAGACCTGAGACATGAAGAATGAGCAAAATCTCACCTGAAACAACCCAAAATGGACCTGGAACTTTCGGAAAGCGCTCTGCAAGCTACCTTTGTGCGGAAAATTGTGCTGCATCAAAAGGATGCAGCCTGGCTTTACAGGCTCCAATTGCGCTCAAGTTTCCGTTTGATTCTCCACTATCCCAATGAAACCCCATAGAACCCTTTGTAACCCTAAACCCTTTGTAAGCCCTAGATGCAGCTTTTGGAGCTGAGGTCTCCCCAGAAATGCGACCCAGGTGTTTCGCTTGTATGAGATGCATCCTCTGGAGCGGCAGAAACCCTGTAGCATTATTATATGGATTAGTATATGGAATATTATATGGATTATGGGATTATTATATGGATTATAGGGGTTATTTACTGACTAAGTCCCCCTGCCCCTCCAAATCAAGTTTTGCATCTTCTTTTCAGGCTCTTCTCAAGCGTGAGGCCCTTTGAGCTTCCCAGAAGGCTTCTAAATTTTCCTTTTTTGAAAGGGTCGGCATCTTTGCGGTCAAGCTAGTGATTACGAAGAAGGAACAGTTGAACAGTTGCCAACGCATGGAGCTGTCAAAACGCATATAGGAAGTCAAGGGTTTTTACAAGAATGTGATGAATGTTGCAGCGAGTGCTTGACAAGGCACTTCTTCATGAAGGAGTACCACAAGTCATTGCAGGCTTACGAGCAAGGACAGATAGATTGTAGCTTGCAGGTCCAGTATGCCATTGTTGGAGCATGACGTCCTGTAATTCGGCCCAATGGTTTCCAAAGTGTGTGCGCGTGGCTTTCTTTTTGAGAGGGGGCTGGGCCACGGGGCTCAGGACTGAAGCTGGACCCTGAAAACCAGGAGCTTGCGTTTCGCAAGATGTCTTGTGCTGTTGTGCGACGGGGCCATAATATACCAGAATATATGATAACAATATGCTATAACATACAATAATATATTAATATGCTATATCATACCAGAATATACTATAATGATAACATACCGTAATGTACAAAAATATGCTATACCATACCAGAATATACGGTAATATACTATAATATGCTATAATATGCTATGCAGGATAATTGCCTTGTTTGCAATGGTTCAGACCCAGCAAGCAGTGGGACCATGGGTCCAGGGAGGAACGATTTAGTGTTTAGGGGTTTAGGGCTTCAGGGTTTAGTAATTTAGGGTTGAGGGTATAGGGGTTTAGGGTGTAGATTTTGGGTCGTCCTTATACGCATACCCCCCAAAAAGCGATATTCCTTCTCATAGATATCCTCAAGCAGGGAAGTCTAACCTTTGGAAACCCGGGAGGTTCTCATAAGGATACTTGCGCAGCCCTAGTTTGAGAAATCCGCACCCTAAACCCTAAATCCTAAATTAAACCCTAGGTAAATCCTAAACTAAACCCTGAACCCTCAACCTGCCTTCTTGAGGAGTGCAAGCAGGGCCGAGACCAGGTCCTAGCAAAGATTAGCGAGACCTCGAGAAGTACCGAGGTTGGTGGCAAGTAAGCTGTGGCCTGAAGTCCTTGAAGGGGGTTACATAGAGGATTCTGGAGTGGAGTATTCTAGAGGTTATTAAGGGAAATACTCTTTCAAAAGTATGTAAATAAAAACATGGCCCAAATTTACCAAAAATAGCCTGAAAGACCATTATTCTTAGTGTCATCAGCGCTATTGTGAGAATTTCGCAAAGCACAGTAGCTTTTGTTGGCCTGCCTGTCGCAGGTGTAGTAAGTTGCAAGCTGTACCCCCGCAACATTCTGTCCTGGCTCAGGCATTATAGCTTAGCAGCAGTCACAGGCGCCTTGCGTGTATCGGACGTTCAGTAAGCATGCGGCGAAGACCGCCAAAGCCTAGCCCCTGGATCGCCACCAGACGCGATGCGACTTCGAGAGACTTCAGAGCTAACGTGGCTTTATGTTTGCTTGTGGGCCTGGTGCTCGCCAGCAACCAAAGCTACAACTTCTTCCTACCGACAGAGCCAGACAGCGCAACCGCGCGACGAGCGCTGGCCACCGAGTCCACCAGCGAGGTGGCAGATTGGCGGAGACCACCCGGCGCCCCCAAACCGGATCAGCGCTGGGGCTTGTGGCCAGCCCTTCCAATAGCCCCGTACGAGCGCCGCGTGACGCTGCGCTACGAGGTCATCCCAGGCATGGGGGCACAAGCCACGTATCAGCTTTTCGTAAGTGGGGATGCACTGGGATGTAGGAACCCTAAACAACGAGGCATGGGCTGATGCTTTGCCCTGTGAGGTGAACTGTGGACCTTCGAGCAGAAGCAAGGCATCTTGTACATCCACGTGCCCATTCGTATGACAGTATATCGCATGCAGACCAGACGGGGGCTCTTCGTGTATGCTCCAGTCGCTCCCACTGACGAGTGTGTCAGATTACTGAGGGAGCTGGAGGAGAAGTATGGAGAAGTGGCCTACATTGTTCTGCCCACCGTAGCAGTGGAGCACAAGTACTTCGTAGGGCCATTCTCCCAGGCCTTTCCAAGGGCCCAGGCGGGAAGAGAGTTTTTGGCAATATTCCACGCAGCTGCACTAGTAACTAGTATGTGGCTGCAGCAATATGTGCTAGAATAGAAAGAGGGACCCCAATATAGACACTAATATGTTATGATCATCATTAGCTATCAGGGTTTTTTCGTCCATATATAGGCCCTATATAGCCCCAAACCCTATAATCACTAGACCCTGAATAGTAGTTTCCATTTTCTTTTCCATTATCCCTATCTAACCTCTATAAGAATATATCCCTATATCCCTCAGGTGTGGGTATGCCCCGGGCAGTTTTCTGTGCCGCTGCAGCTTCCTCTGCAGCTGCTGGGCTTTCCCTGGGATTCACGCCGCCTCCGTACGCTTCCAAAAGCCGGTGGGGCTGCAGGCAGCAGCCTCAGCAAACGCTACTCACCTGAGTCATGTTTTGAATGGGGAAAGCGGACATTGAAGTCCCCAACGTAGAGTAGGATCACATCTCCCTTTCTTCATAAAACACATTTCCATTTCTCAAAGCAGAGACCAAAGCACTGCCTGCCACTCGCACAGATCTCGCAAGGCTCAGACTTGCCGGAGGACTGGCAAAAGGAAGGGTCTGCGCCTCAGCGCGCGGTAAGTTGCGGAGTCCTGTCGGGAAGGGGGGGGGATTTCGAAGTTCCTAGAGTGACGACTATGCTGGTACGCAGTGTCTTGATATCTATGCTTGGCCACCTATTTGTGGAAACCCCCCTTATGCCGGGGCCGAGTGATTGTGCATGGTGGCGAATGCGAAGTCTGCCATCTCCGGCCAAAGCGTGAGAGGCTGGACTTTCGCATACTTGGACCTGTTGGCAAAGACCTGAACAACGGGCCTTTTGCTGAAGCAGTGGGAGCCTAAGAAAGAATGCAATCAAACTTGCTTCGGCCTGCATAGCTGTGCTAAGGGTCAGTGGCAACTTGAAAAATACAAACATCCACCAATCAAGCAAGCAAACAGTAAACTTCAACATTGACATGCAGCGTCCACAGGGGTGCGCCTGCCTTTGTGAAGCGTCTTTCCATGACTGGACTTCTCAGATTGGCAGCACCTCTCCAAATATGTGTATGTAAAGAATTCATGCTGAGAGCAGGGCCATACGTTATAGTTCGCGTGCTGAGGCGTTCTACATCAGAAGGTGCGCGACTTAGCATGGAGCGGCTGCAAGCGCCAACATCTTCAGGGTGCGGAGTGACTGAAACCCTTTGGGTCGTTCGCGGCAGCAGCTTTGGCTGCTAACACAGCTAATCACATTGAGGTTCCCCCAAGTGGGCCCAAATTAGAGAACCCAGCGACAGAATCTAAAAGGCGAATACTTCCTACGAAGGGTCTCTAGTCCCCCTTTGAGTAGATAGAATATGGCTTTGGGTATACTATAGCAAAATCCCCATACACCCCATATTCTATTTAATTACTTATTGGGGGACTATAATCTTTTGAGCCACCATATCCAGGCTTCGGACCATGCTGGTTACGGACCTGGTGGTCTCTGTGCCTGCAGAGCCTCCAGAGATCGTTGCGGAGGCAAGGCGTGTGGGAGGCTCTAGGCTGCAGTATTATAGGGTATATCTAAGGATATATATGGGGGTTATATGGGGACAATGGAAAAGAAAATGGAAACTACAGGGATTTTAGGGGTTTTATAGGGGTTCTATTGGGTTGAGTAGGGATAACGGAAAAGACAAATGGAAATTACTACATTACAATAGGGTATATACTGGCGTTATAGTCGGGCATAAGAGTAGGGATAACGGAAAAGAACATGGAAACTACTACAAACGGGGTATATGTTGGGGTTTATTAATTCCTGGCCAGCCAGCCTTTGGTTACCGAAGCATGTAATTCCGCAAGCTGATAGAGTGCCTGCTGAGACCATCCATCCATTGAATCAAGTTATCCAGACATCGTACTTCTGGATCAGAAATGGGGGGTTTCCAACAGCTAGGGATCCGTTCTGGGGGTGGGGGGGGTGTCAGAAAATGATCGTATTTTGGGGTTTATATTGGGCCCCCTATTTCTGGAAACCCCCAGATGGCGAACGGGTCATCCAGTGCAGAGATGGAGGCTTGCATGTCCCCAAGCACCAAGCAGTGTCCCTAACTTTCCCGACTACTCCAAGTGATTGCCTCATGTAAGACTTAGATACAGACTAACTCAGTAACAGCTTGGTCGCATCTATGTGAGAAATTCTATGACGCCCTTAACTTTCTGGTGGTTGGTAGGGAAGAAGGGAATAGTAATCCCTATATAATATATTCTCCTACTGTTCCCTTCTATAGCCCCAATGTATGCCCTGTTATACTGTAGTAGTTTCCATCTTCTTTTCCATTCTTCCTATATAATGCCAAGATATCCCCTGATTCCCTCCTAACCCTAAGCCCTAAACCCCAAACCCTATATTATACCCATATATATCCCCTTATTCCCTAATGTTACCTCTATGACACTATGATAACTTACCCAGACCCCTGGGAGGATCTAGAAAGTAGAACCCCCATTATGGTACCCTATACTGCTACTGGGCAATTTCTAGGAACCCGAAAAGGGTACCTACTTTCTAGATCCTCCCAGGGGTTTGGGTTAGAGACCTTGGAGGAGCCGAGGGCACTAGCTTTCCATGCGCGTGACGATGCAACTCAACCCCTGGAGGCTACGAGCAGGGGTTTAGGGCTTAAGGGGTTGAGGGGTTTAGGGCTTAAGGGCTTAAGGGGTTGAGGGGTTTAGGGGTTTAGGGGTCTAGGGTTTGGGGTTTTAGGGGTTTAGGGGGTTTAGGGTTGAGGGTTTAAAGCTTTAGAGTTTGGGTAGGGATGTGAGGGTTTCCAAAAAAGGTGGGGGATGCCTTTGTTTGCTTCTGGTAGGGTTCATTGTGCAAACGGCGTAGGGGGACCTCAGATTGAAGTCAAAAGTTGGGGGCTTTTCGCTGCAACAATATAGGGTAATACAGGGGTTATAAATATTGGGATAATGGAAACTACTATAATGTGATGGGTTATATGGGGACTATATAGGCTCCTTGGGGATATGTACACGATTTGGATTATTGTAAGGTGTAATTATCCTCAGCATTGATTCAGGCGCCTTAGCTTGCACTTATTGGTGGAGTTTTGAGAAAAACTTGTCCCAAATGTGCACGACATTCCGGGAATTTCTGTTTGATTTACAGTCAAAGCGAGCCTGCTCGAGCTGATCACTAAGTGTACTTGTGTTTGCCAAGGGCCAATGTGGGGTCCCGGATCTTTATGGTAGCATCCCTGCTGCTTCACATGTGTGTTTCTAAGCACAAAGTGGCAGTCTGCAAGGGAGTAAATGCCATGGCCAATGTTAGAGTCGCTCATGCGATCTTTATTGTTTTGCATCAAAAAACGCACGACACGGCTGGATGGCTTACTCATGTGTAGCGGACTACTGCAGGGAATTTTATGATGATAAAGGGGATTACTATACTCTGTAGGGATCCATTCCATTCCCCAGCAAGCAGTACGAGGATGCAAATCTGCTGCGATCAGGGCTCACAAGAGGCATTACTTCGCGGCTGGCGTCTAGAGCTGAGATTTTGCCAGGGAGATGTCTTACCTGCACAGAGGCCCTAAAAGAAGCCCCAAAGTAGGATTGCGCTGGTCATGTTGCCACTGGATCTCTTGTGATGATCAACAGGACCAGGATAACGGCCATACTGCAGAAACGGACGATGCGACCGTCATTGCCTCTCCACAAATGCCTTGAGTGATCTAGAACGCAGCATGATGTGTCTGGCTACGCGATGCAAATGTCATAGAAAGTTGTCTCCCCGTGCTGAAACCACCAGCCAGTGTATGACATGAGAATGCCAATCCTATTCGGCAAATCAGCCCAGAAGTGCTGTTTAGCATCGATCCGTGCCCACCAGCTCGCATTTTTACACAGCAGACATCAAATGGCCTTGTTGGGGGGGGGGAGTGTATTGGAACTACTGCAAAAACGCAACCCCTTCTGAGC